CTGCGGGAGCTTGCGCAATGCACCACGTTTGCGAAGCAGTCCCCTGGATCGCCCCAACTGCCGCCCAAACACCCATGAAGCACGTGGGCGCACCCCCCCTCCACGCACAAACACACACATGCACATGCACATGCACATACGCACACACTGACACACTCACTCACACCCACAAATACACCCAACACCAACCTGGGCTGGTCGCTGACCCCGCTGATGATGAGGGGGGTGCGCGCCTCGTCGATGAGGATCGAGTCCACCTCATCGATCACGCAGAAGTTGAACGGCTGGGCGGCGCGCAGCACCAGCTCCGCGGGGGCCTGGGAGGACAGGGGCGGGCGCGGCAAGAGGGTCAGAGTGATGCTCGCGCGACAGCACCACGGGGGCGTCCGCGCGGCTGCTCCAAACCTGCCGATTTGGGCCTCATCAGCCCGCCGCTGCCGCCTGCGCCTGCGCCTGCGACGGCGCCAACCGCCGGCTGTCTACGCTTTCAACGCCATTTTGCCGCTGTTCCTCTCGACGCGCTTGTTGGAGGACCGCAGGGGTGCGACCGGCACTGCAGTACAGCACAGAGCAGCACACCGCCACAGTCCCATGCATCCCCGCCCAGCCGCCGCATCCGCCGCGCCAGCCCCAGCCCCACGCATCCCATCCCAGCCGCAGCGGCAGCAGCAGCAGCCACCCACCCCCGCCAGGTTATCCCTCAGGTAGTCGAACCCCAGCTCGCTGTTGGTGACGTAGGTGATGTCACTCGCGTACGCGGCGCGGCGGCTCTCGGGGTCCATGTCCGCCTGGATGAGGCCCACGTTCATGCCCAGGAAGCGGGGCACCTGCGGGTGTGCATGTGTGTGAGAGAGGGCGTGTGTGGACTGTGAGTGTGTAGGTGTGGATGTGAGCGCGATATATGTGAGGGGAGGGTCGTAGAGTTTTTCGAGGGCGGGACTCGGTGAAATGGTCAGTGGGGTGAAGGGCGGGGCAGGGGGGTTGGGAGTGGCATGGGGTAGGTGCGCGGGAGAGGTGATGGGAGGCTGGGCGCACTGGTAGCCCGTGCTGGTGAGCACAGGGCGGAGGGACGCGTTGATCAGTCCACGCCGGGTGCTGTATGCTGTTGCTAGCAGCCGACCGACGTGCGCACGGCGCCGCTGCGGCCGCTGCCGCTGCGCAGCTGCTGCAGCCGCAGCTGCTGCAGCCGCAGCTGCCTCGACCCTGCTGCACGCCGCCGACGCCCGTCACGTCGCTGCTGGCCCCTGCGCCGCGAAGCGCGCCTGCCGCGACGCTGCCGGGGCCCCCGCTCGTCGCGCCCGCCCCGCTGGCTCAAGCCGCGGCGAGCGCGGGCCGCCGCCTCGCCGGCGGAGCTGCTCCTACTTCCGCAAGATCCATCAAGCCAAGTCGCCGCCTTGGCCATGACCCTAGCCGTCCGCCCTAACCCCCTTTTGCCCCCGCCCGCTGCCCTCGCCGCCCCAACCGCAACCGCCGCCTTGCCCTCTTGCTGAGCCACCCCTTCGCCCGGCCCACACGCCCGGCCGCGGAGCCGGCCCCTCCTTAACCAATAAAACCACCGGTCTTCCACCAGCCCCCGCGGCGTTTCAACAGCGGCAGCAGCAGCCCCTCACCTGCCCGACCCACTCGCTGTCGCGGCGCGCGAGGTAATCGTTCACGGTCACCACGTGGACGCCCGCGCCAGACAGCGCGTTCAGGTACGACGGCAGCACCGCCACCAGCGTCTTGCCCTCGCCGGTCCTGCATGGGGGCGGAGGGGGTAGAGCAAGGGGCGGCGTGCTCAAAGGCCGACAGGCTGGGGGGTGCGCCTGCTTGGGCGCACTCATGAGCCCGCCTGCTGGGCCGCTGGGTGGACGGCAGCGGCGTCGCGCAAATGGGGGGGCGGCAGCACCCCTGTCCCGCACCTCATCTCGGCAATCTGGCCGTCGTGCAGGATCATGCCGCCGATGAGCTGCACGTCAAACGGCCGCAGGCCCAGCACGCGGCGCGAGCCCTCGCGAACGACCTGCGCGGGGTCGAGTTGACCAGCACGGCGAGTTGACCAGCAGGACACCGAGCAGTGTGCATGCACACAGGCGCACCCGCATCCCCAATTGGCGCCTCCGAGTGCATGCATGCAGTAGGAAGTGTGCTAGCATTGCATACATGCGCGCCTGCCGTCGCGCGCCACACATGCGCCGCGCGCGTCGGTGCCCACCGCAAACGCCTCGGGCAGCAGTGAGTCGAGGGACTCGCCCCGCTTGACCCTCTGTTTGAACTGCTCGGTCATGCCGCGCAGCTCCTCATCGGACATGGCCTGGATCTTGGGCTCGAGGGCATTGATGGCGTCCACGCGGTCTTGGTACTTCTTCCGCGTGTTCTCTGACGGATCCTGCTTGAACATCTTTCCAAAAAAGGCGTGCGTCTTCACGGTAGAGGCGCGCCCACGGCGAGCAGCAGCGGACGCGGGCGCCACAGCAGCAAGGGCATGGCCACGAAGGCCGGCCTTCCGCAGAGGAGTACCGCAGGCTGGTGCATTGAGTGCATTGATGCGAACAGGGACTCGGGGCCTCCCCGCGTGCGCGAGGGGCGCCCCGAAACCGCGTTGGACGAGCATCGCCTGTGAGCGAGCGACAGATGTCAATTGGATCGTGATAAAGACCGATAGGGCAATCTACTGATCCCCATACGGCGGCATGCGCTGCGTATGTGCGCGGCAGCCGACGTTCAGCGTCACTGGACGCCGGTGACGCAGCGCATGTGTGCAGGGCGCGCAGCACAAGAATCGCCCGGCATCGCTGTCAGTGATCCCTGCTATCTAGGTTCCAGGCAAGGAGCACAGAATCGAGGTGCACTTGAGGTGTTAAATGCCGACTGTGGGTGGATGACAGGCTGCGCAAGGGTATACATGGGCACTGCCGGTGGAGGGGGGCATGCCTCTAATTGTGTGATTGTCGTGGAATTTGTTGCCCCAAAGATATCGTCTGCCCCAAAGCTACCACCTGAGGCCCGACTACAACCTTGCACAGCATAATGTGTCCATTATATATCAGAAGTGGCTTGTGTTCTGAGTTGGTGCCCCTCTGCTCAACCTTGGACAACAAATCCTGATGCGTACATCGGTTTGCCCAACCGATGCGACGCAATCCCGCTCAGCACACGTCACAGCGGACATCCATTTTTCACACCGCATGCATATTGTGGCAGGTTATTTCTGGTGTTTTTGTGTAAAACCTCACACAGCCACGATGCTCTTCCAGCGCGCGTCCCCGTGCCAGATCAGCGGTGCCAGGGCCGGCAGCGGCCGCTTCGGCGCTGCCTTGCACGCTGGCTCCAACCGCCGGCATGTTGTCATGCTGCACTGTGGCGACCACGCGGTGCGTGCACCTCGGCTTTTGAATCCAACAACGCCCCTGCCGTGCATTCGAGAGCCCAAGCACTCGCTGCCCCCACAGACGTCCTGCACGCCGCCACAGCTCACCAGGCCTAGTCAGCGCGCAGCGGCCCGTCACCGCGTGCGGCCAGCCCCACTCGTCGCCGACCCATCCAGCCCACTCATCCCTTGCATCACCTGCAGGCACGTACCACGTCTGGGGCCTCCGGCCCAGCCTCCAAGGGCCCAGGGCCCTCTGCCGCTTCCCAGCAGCCGGGCCAGCCAGCAGCCCAGCCAGCCAAGCCGGCCCAGCCGCTCACCACCAACGCCGCCGCCGCCGCCGCCGCCGCCGCCGCCGCCGCCGCCGCCGCCGCCAAGCCCCGCCACTTCCATGCCAGCCTCGACCTGCTGACTGGGGGCGCCGCCGCCGAGGAGGCCGGCGCGGCCGCCAGCGAGGCGGCGTGCGTGGCCAAGCTCAGCGCCACCCCCGCCCTGCTGGATGCGCTGCGCAGCGCCCTGCCCGGCCTGCTCGCCGCCGCCGGCGGCAGCAGTGATGCCGCAGCTGCCCCCGCCGCCGGCGACGCGGCCGGCTTGGCCTCGGTGCGGCTAAACTCTGCCCTGTCCAGGGCGATCGCAGAGGCTGCCGGCTGCGACGTCGGCAGCGCCCCGGCAGGCGGGTCGGTGGATATTGCCGCTGCGACGCACGTCATTTACGGCGGCTGCATTTACCCTGTCATCCGCGATGCCGACGGCAAGCCGATGATCCTCACCCCTGATTGGACCGAGGTAAGCGTGGCCAAGGGCGCCGGCACGCGGCTGCTGTGCCTGACGCCCTGCGGCAGCGCTGAGGAGCGGCTCAAGCAGCTGAGGGCGCTGGGCGCGGTGGTTGGGGATGCAGCGGAAAGGCAAAAAGGGTCGCATTACAGCTCTTGGGGGTCTCTCATCAAGGGTGGAGGCCGCCTGCACGCCGTGCTGCCCGACGGGGACTTTGCCCCTATTTTTGAGGCAGAGAACTCAAGCAACAACGCCAACCATTTCATCGCGGCACCCCCCCTGAGCGTGTCTGGGCGAGTGGCCCCCAGCAAGGCGCGGCGTGATGTCACGCGGGCCAACCTTTCTAGCCTGCCCTGCAATTGGACGGAGGTGTACCTGGTTTGATTGCTCATAACAACTTGTTTCGCCCCCTCGACGCTTTGCACAAGTGTTGCAGGATTGCGTTTTGCTTATGCCTTTGTCACTGCCAGTCAACATTGGCGCAAGCAAGCCTATGGCATGTGGCGCTTCTTCTGAGCTGGCGGTGCCTTTGTATCTCAGGGACTTGTTGAGAACCGCTCCAGCTCGCACAACATCACTGTGCACGTGATGACGGAACTTCACATAGCTGGGTTGAAGTTGCAGTTGGGGCGGCGCGCTGAGGTGCAAAGCGTCCTGTTGGGGAGTTGAGGCGCCTTGAGGCGGGCGTCGCCGTGTAACTGGCTCTTGGAGACATGCTGGCAATTGTGCTAATCTGGCGGCACCCGGCACGCTGCGCCGTGTGCATCCCAGCGGTCATACTGCACTGCCTGAAATCTGCTGCCTGATTCGTGCTGCCCACAGACTGGCTCGACCAGGAGCAGACGTATGCGCCATGCAGATTTCTTTGCGCCTGCCCACGCGCCCCTGTCGGCGCGCTTGAACCTATCGGGCCGCGTTGCATATGCTGATGAGTGGCGTGGAACGGATAGGGCCGCTTTTAGCCGTTTCTAGAAACGGCCAAGATCTTGGCCCCTTGCCTGCTGCTTCTGGGTGGCTCTTGAAACGTACACTGCGTAATCACAGCTGCATACTGTGAAATGCAGTATCAAATCAAACATTCTTCTTGGTTTGCCAGCCTGACCCTTGCGTCTTTGCCGTGGATGGATGGGAGTGTGGGATTGTGAGGATGTCAGGTTGGGTGCAGTCCCAAGGAGCCAGACCATTTCAACTCACGGTTTGGGCTGTTCGCGCTGTAATCGTCCTTCTCATCTGGTGTATCACCCATTCAAAGGAGCTGTGTTCCGGGGGCTACATCCCCCGCACTGTGAGCTTGTAGTGTAGCAGGGTGGACGGCTGCCCTGACGCCGTCAGCGTCTGGGTGTGTAGCGCGTCACCCCAAAAATGATGCAAAGCATATTTTGAACACAACAGACGCTATACATGCGCACAAGACCGCAAAGCCGCGTAATTTTACATAATCATTCGAGCCGCGCTCGTTCCCCAGATACGGCCCGCCAGCTCACGAACGCAACTCTCTAGGGACCTGAAGCACCCGTGTTCTCAATGACAATCATCCGAGCCGTGCAGTCCTGGAGCTTCGGCAGGACCCGCCGCAGCGCTGCTCGCATAGCCGTGCGCGCCCTTGTCCGCCGCCCCGCCCTCACCAAGGGCACCTTCGGCAGCAAGGTGAGAGGCAGGTGTCAAATCAGGTCGACCTCGCCCGGGTTTCGACTCGCCGGCGGCATGCCCAAACACTGTCCATGTGTGCACACGTTTGTGCCACGACACACCTGCCTCAAAGCGCGCGATCAGCAAAGCGCGCTACACTACGCCGCCCCGTTCCCTACGTCCTGCTGGCAGGCTATGGTACCCCCTGAGGGCGCCATAAGTCCGTTCAAGGGGCCATGCTCCACGCCCAGCAGCTTCCACGCCAGCTTCGAGGTGCTCCCTGGCAACGGCCCCGCCGCCGAGCCCAGCGGCGCCGCCGCAGACGAGGCGCCGCGCGCGGCATACGCCGTCAAGGCCGACCCGATGCTCCTTGAAGCGGTGCGTCGGGCGCTGCCAGAGCTGTTTGCCCTGCCAAGCGGCGACGACGCCCCCAGCGCCGGCGGCGGCGGCGGAGCCGGCGGCGCGGCTTTCGCGCGGCTCAGCCCTGCGGCATCTGCGGTCCTGGCGGACGCCGCCGCCGTCGCAGCAGCAGCAGCCTCGGAAACTGCGATCACCCTCGAGACAGCGACGCATGTGATGTACGGCGGCTGCTTGTACCCGCTGCTGTGGAATACCGATGGCGAGCCGATAATCCTCGCGCCCAACTACATCGACGCAAGGGCGCTGCCAGGCGTCGGCACGCGGCTGCTGGACCTGGCGCCCTGCAGCACGGCCCACGAAAGGATCAAGCAGCTCAAGGCGCTGGGCGCCGTGGTGGGCGACGCGAGAAAGACTGCGCCGTACGAGGCAGGAGACGCCCCTCTCTTTGACGCCGGCGCCCGCCTGCACGTGGTGTACCCGAACGGCGAGGTTGCCCCGGTATTCACACTAGAGCACGACGACATGACCGTGCACTATTATGCGGCGCCCCGCGTAACTGTGTCGGGCGGGATCTTGACCGGCAAGGGCTGGCCAGAGGCACGTCAAATGAATCTGGCAAAGCTGCCCATCGACTGCTACCACGAGGTGTACCTGACTTGAACAGCTGGCTTCAGGATCCGCTCAGCTGGGTCCTGCGCGGCACGCACGCATGCGCATGCATGGAGAGACCTCTGGCCTGCTGGGCAGCAGGGCGCGCTGCCCGCTCGTTGGGTAGCTGGTGCCGAATGCTGTTTGCCGGCCGGCACAGCAGAGTGCCAAGCGGTGGCGCACCCAGGGAATCCTGGGATATCAGGATCTGTTTGCTGGGTGTTGCGCCGTGCTGCAGAAAACTTGTTGACCGAGCCAGAGCGCGCTGCGTCCTGCTACAAGGCGCTCTGAGGCGGCCCCTCGCTTGCATGTGTGTACACATGCGCCTGGCTCACCAGCTGCGGCAACACTCCTGGGTCTTAGTCTCAAATCATATCGTAAACATATGTTCTCCCCGGGCACTTGATAAAATTGTGGCTTGCAGCAGACGTGAATTCTAGTGCAGGACGTTTCACATCCAGGAAGGTGTGGATCCACGCCCCTGCAAGTTTGGGTGTCAACAGGGTTGCAGGTAGGTCCAAAAGGCTGGTGCGGATTGCAACAACAAAATGAAATTGGTTTGGGAGCCGCCCCGCACGCATAGCACTGTTGCCCTGCGCTGCACAGCTCTGATTCAGCCTTGCCAGCAGACATAACACCTTCACTTGTGCTGGCATGCTGTCCCACCGCGCACATACCGTTTGAACTTCCTCAGCACACACCATTCAAAGTAAAATCAGGCCTCTCAGTCCATGATAATCACAACTGAATCGCCTTCATCAAGGTAGTGTGGGATTGTGAGGATGTCCGGTTGTGCAGAGAAGTCCCAGAAGCCAAACCATTGCAATTAGCCGTTTCTGCGGCCCGCTCTGCAATTGTCCTCCTCATTCGTTGTAGCACTCATTTCAAGAAGCTGTGTCCCCGGCCGGTGCTGTTGTACAAGCTCTATGAGCTTGTAGCAGGCAGGGCTGCCAGCCAGCAGCAGCGATGCACTCTGACGCCGTCAGCCTTTTGGGTGTGTAGCGCGGCACCCTTGAGAGTATCATAATGCAAAGCCGTGTGACACGCTAGACATGTTCGCAGCAGCTAGACCTGGCGTAATGCCGCATACGGTACTTGCGTAATTTTACATGATCACCTGAAACGCGCTCGTTCCCCTCATACGGCTCGCCAGCTGACGAGGGCAACTCTCTAGGGACCTGCAAGCACTCGTTGTCCTCCCTCGTATCAGCAACCACCATGTTGCATGTCATGCAGGCCTGGAGCTTTGGCTGGGCCCGCAGCAGCACTGGCGCCGCTGGCACAGCCGCGCGCGCCCTTGTCCGCCGCCCCGGCTTCACCAAGGGCCCCTTTTGCAGCAAGGTGGGTGGCAGGTGTCAGATCAGGTCGACCTTGCCCCCGACCTTGATCTCGCCGGCGTGCCCAAACATTGCGCATGAGTGCGCAAGCTTACGCCATGCCGCACCTGCCGCAAAGCTTGCGATCAGCAAAGCGCGCTACACCACGCCATCCTTTGTCCCACACGTCCTGATGGCAGGCTATGGTACCCCCTGAGGGCGTCATGAGCCCGTTCAAGAGGCCAGGCTCCGCGCCCGGCAGCTTCCACGCCAGCTTCGAGGTGCTGCCTGGCAACGGCCCCGCGGACGAGCCCAGCGGCGCCGCCGCAGGCGAGGCGCCGCGCGTGGCATACGCCGTCAGGGCGGACCCGATGCTCCTTGAAGCGGTGCGTCAGATGATGCCAGAGCTTCTCGCCCTGCCGAGCGGCGACGACACCCCCAGCGCCGGCGCCGGCGGCGGAGCCGGCGGCGCGGCTTTCGCGCGGCTCAGCCCTGCGGCGTCTGCGGTCCTGGCGGACGCCGCCGCCGCCGCAGCAGCAGCAGCCTCGGAAACTGCGATCACCCTCGAGACAGCGACGCATGTGATGTACGGCGGCTGCTTGTACCCGCTGCTGTGGAATGCTGATGGCGAGCCGATCATCCTCGCGCCCAACTACACTAATGTGAGGGCTCTGCCTGGCGTCGGCACGCGGCTGCTGCGCCTGCCGCCGTGCAGCACGGCCCGCGACAGGATCGAGCAGCTCAGGGCGCTGGGCGCGGTGGTGGGCGATGCAAGCGAGCGGGAGCCAGATTCCGAAGAATCGGAGTGGGATGGCGATACAGAATCGGATCATGACGATTGGGTCCCGCCCCTCCCTCTCGTCGACGGCGGTGCGCACTTGCACGTGGTGCTCCCAAACGGAGACGTTGCCCCAGTGTTTCCGTCGCCTGACCACCCCAAGCTCGGCCACCTGCACTATTACGCGGCGCCCCGCGCGTCTGTGTCGGGCCAGGTTGCAACCGGCAAGGCCTGGCCAAGTCCAGTCTGCCAGACTCTGGCAAAGCTGCCAGTAGACCGCTACTACGAAGTGTACCTGGCATGAAGGGCTGCCTGCAGGATCCGCTCAGCTGGGTTCTGCGCGGCACGCACGTATGCGCATGAACAGAGGCGCCCGGCCGGGCGGCGGGCACTGTTGCCCTGCGCTGCGAAGTGCTGATTCAGCCTTGCCAGCAGCCCACCACCACTTGCGCGGGCATGCCGCCCCACCGCACACATACCGTGTGCACTCCCACTGCACGCCCAATTCAACATGAAAAAAACGACGCCTCTCAGGCTAACCACAACTGAATCGCCTTCATGAAGGGAGTGTGGGATTGTGAGGATGTCAGGTTGGGTAGAGAAGTCCCGGGAGCATTTCAACTAGCCGTTTCTGCGGCTGCTCTGCAATCGTCCTCCTCTTGTGTACACTGTAACTCATTTCAAACGCTGTGTCCACGCCCCGTGCTGTAGTACACGCTCATGAGCCAGCCGGCAGCCATGCACTGTAGCCATGCACTGTACCCTGACGCCGTCAGCCTCTGGGGTGTGTAGCGCGTCACCCTTGAATGGCTACGAAGACTTGTTGAACTTGAACAGAATCTATACATGTGCACAACGCAACATATGCGCGTAATATTACATAATCACCCCAGCCAGAAACGCCCTCATACGGCCCGCCAGCTCACAAGGGCAACCCTCCAGCGACCTGCAGCACCCGTGAAGTGCCCTGGTATCCACAATGACAATATCACAAGCCATGCAGTCCTGGAGGTTCGTCTGGGCCGGGAGCAGCACCTGTGCCGCTGGCACAGCCGCGCGTGCCCTTGTCCGCCGCCCCTTCTTCACCAAGGGCACCTTCGGCTGCAAGGTGAGGGGCAGGTGTCAAACCAGGTCGACCTCGCCCCCGACCTTCATCTCGCCAGCGTGCCTGAACATTGCGCATGCGCGCACACGTTTGCGCCATGCCGCGTCTGCCTGAAGGCGTCCTTTCAGCAAAGCGCAGTACACCACGCCGCCCCGCGTTCTCTACTCGCCCTGATGGCAGGCTACCGCGGCCCCTGAGAGCATCGTGAGCCCGTTCAAGGGACCGGACCCCGCGCCCATCAGCTTCCACGCCAGCTTTGAGGTGCTCCCGGGCGGCGGCCCCAGGGCCGACGGGCCCATTGACGAGCCCAGCAGCGCCGCAGGCGAGGCGCCGCGCGGGGCTTACGTCAGGGCCAACCCGATGCTCCTCGAGGCGGTGCGCCCGGCGCTGCCTGGGCTGTTCGCCCCGCCGAGCGGCGACGACGTCCCCATCACCAGCGGCTGCGGCGGCAGCGGCGCGGCTGTCGCGCGGCTCAGTGCGGCGGTGTCTGTGGT